GGTGATGATAAATTGGGAGAGAAATACAATAGGATAAGAGAACGTGGCTATTTTAGATAAAGTCAGGGTATGCCTCCTTTTGAGGAAGGAATTTTCCATCAGCGACTTGAATCAAATAAAGGAGCACGCTACTTGGAGGAAGAGTATTCTAGGCAGAAGGAGCATGTGCAGAGGTTCAGAGGTGGCCTGTGAGGCTGCAGATAGGTGGAGGTGCCCATTACATAGAGCAGTGAGAACTTCGCATTTGTTCTGAGCGTTACAGGAAACAGTTGTAGTTTTTTGAACTAGAGAAGTGTTCTGGTCTACTTTGAGCTTTGACAACTAGACTGTATTTTATTTTCAAGGTGCTGACATCTAAAAGGCTTGGATATGAACAAGAACATGATTTCCTTATTAAAAATCTTTTTTTTCTTCTTGGTACCTCACAGTTATTGGCTATTTAGGGCAAACATGTTACCCTGGGCTGATGACAATAGGGAATCCTCTGATTCATTCACCAGGCTATGACCAAGCTTGGAAACCTTTATTTCCTCTCTGTCTTTTGAACTTGACAGTAATACATGTCTTCAAAAGCCAGACTCCCGTGAGCCCCCCAGGGTATTTGTATGCCTGCATATCTTTACTTACTCGTGATTCTGAATTTTTTTCTCATAATGTTTCTCCATAACTATTTTTCTAGTATTTACATAATTTTTGTATTAATCATTAACTTGCTGAGTTATTGTATGCTTATTTAGTTAATTAAATAGATTTTGAACAAGGCTTTACACAAGAGGCAGGCACAGAAGATGGGCTCATTGAATGTTAGGGTTTTTGTGAATGTGAAGATGGAACTGAGAAAATACTAGAACCTGCCATTTTTTAAGCATCTGTTGGAACCCAGGCATTGAGCTGAGTCCTTTACTGACACTTCTCAGTTCCACTGCAACTCCCTGAGGCATGTAATTGTACCTTATCTGCATTATGGAAAGGGAAATCGAAGCCGAAGGACTTAAGTCACTTACCCAAGTTCTCACAGCTACAAAGGAGCACAGCGGGAACTTGAACCAAAATCTGCTTCCAGAGTTTGAACGTTCAATTTTAACTATCAGGGTATACCAACTCTCAGCTACCATGGTCTTTAAAAAGCAAATTAAAATACCTTTTAATTTCGAAGTAATTTGAGACTTGCAAAAAAGTTGCAAAATAGTACAAAGTATGCCCATACAGGCTTTGCCCATAGTCCCTAAATGTTAACGTTTTACTATGTTTGCTTTATGATTCTGTCTACATCTCTCTATATATACACATAGGTATGCATTTATATCTCACTTAATAATCCCTTTTCTAGAAACCGACTCTGAAGATACACTTCCAACAATATGAAAATACACACGGGTAAAGTTATTCATAGCAGTGTTTGCAATTTGAAAATATTTAAAACAACTTAAATGCCCACATGGAAGAAAGTGGTTGAATAAATTTGGTATATTCACATGCAATGGGGTACTATACAGCTGTGAAAGAATGAAGAAAACCTTTAGGAATGATGTGGAAGGATTTCCAGGATAAATTGTAAATCTTAAAAAGCAACAGTGTAAAAGAATATGCTACATTTTGTGTAAGAATATGTGTTATATGCAACAATGTAAAAAAGTATCAAAATTTATGCTACATTTTGTATAAGAATGTGGTGTTGGATTTTTGTTGGCCCTCTTCACATTGGTACTGATATTGGGCTGTAAATTTTTTTTTATGCTCTTTTCATCAAGTTTAGTTATCAGCGTTAAACTTTTTTCACAAAAGAATTAGGTGTTTTTTTTTTTTTTTTCATTTTTAGTGCTCTGGAAAACATGAAGCATCGGGCTTATTTGGTCTTTCTAAGTTTGTTAGAATTTTCTTATGAAAAAATCTAGGTCTAGTGTTTTTTTGTAGGTTAGTTTCTTAATAGCCTTTTCTACTTATTCTATGCATTTTGGTGTTTTAAAACTTTCTGGCTCTAATGGGATTGATTTGGGTAAATTTTGTTTCCCAAGGAAACAGTCTTATTTCAAAGATTATCACATTTCTTTGTGTAGAAGTCTGCAAAGTGGCTTTTATGTGTATGTGGGTTTGTTCTTTTTCTGTTTCGGTAGTTATTTCTTCCTTATTCTTTCTTATTTTGTAAATGTGTGCTTTTACCTTATTTTTTCATCAAGTTAGCTAGTAGCTTATCTGTTTCTTTAAGTTAATCAAAATAAGTAGGATTTTGATTTATAATTAGGTTTATTGTTTTTCTCTTTAGTTCATTGATTTCCACTTTTATCTTTATTTTCTTCCATGTTTGTTTTGATATACATTTTTCTTAGCTTTTTGATCTGAGAATTTAGTTTGTTCATTTTTTATTTTTATTGATAAAAAGTATTTAAGAGTATAAATATTCCTTTGATCACTGCTTTACGTTTATTCCATAGATTACAATATATAATATTTTCAATTATCAGGATTTAGAATTCCTGTTAATTTTTCATTTTCCCATTCACCGAAGAGTTGTTTTAATAGTTTATTTTTTCCCCATATGGGGAGCTTTTGTTATCTGATATTTTGATAAATTTCTAGTTTTACTGCAGAGTTTTGCTTATGTCACTTTGTGGAACTTACCGATGCTTCCTTGATGACCTAATATATGACAGATTTTGTGATCAATTCATGTGTGCTTGAGAAGAATGCGTATTCCTTATTATGAGGGTGTAAGTTTCAATAGATACCCGTAAGATTTACTTAACTAATTAGATTATTTAGACCTGCATTGTTACTTATTTTTAGTGCTTGTCTGTCCTGTTACTGACATAATATGTATTCTTATTAATGTTTTTATCTATGTTTCTTGGTGTTGTAGTTTTTGCTTCATAAAAGTGACTGCTATATAATCTGGTACATAGCTAATCATTAACTGTTATAAGCTTTGTTTTAATTATGGCTTTTGCAATTAAAAAAGTGTCCTTTATCATGTTTAATGCATATTGGCTTGCACTCCACTTTGCCTGGTTATTGTGCCCAGAAGCCCTTTTATTGTTGCCGTTCGCCTGGTGTTCTTTTCCCTTTATTTCTAGCCTTTTGGGATCACTTCGTTTTAGGTGTTTCTTGTATTTAACATAGTTGGGTCTTGCTTTGTGAGCCATGGTAAAAATCACATTTAACGGGCCATTTATTGATGTGATTGGTATGTTTGGTCTCAACACTTGTATTTTTTATGTAATATTTGTCCTGTTTTTTTCCTACATGCTGTGTTTTCATTGCTCTTTTACTTAAAAAAAATATATATTAGGATGTTTGATATTTGTTGTAATGGCTACCTGTGTACTTAGATCATTCGTAATATTTTAGTCCCGTTTTGTTATTTAACCTCTCGTCCTCTGTTTTCCAGTTTTTAATAGTAACCTTTAACTCCTACCTGCCGTTAATACAGTAATCCATGAGGTTATTTCACTTTGATCTTTTTTCTTTCTCCTCTTCCCAGGTTCTAATTGAATTATTTGTTTTATTAGAAGAAAATGTTTCACAAGATG